AAAAAAAAAAAAAGAGTGACCACTGCATATGATACCTAGACTCTTAAGTTTTGTCCCAGAGTCAACGTAGCAGCCTCTTGCACCAGCCTGGCAGTGACTACAAGTGTTCTCAGGCACAGGGGGGCATCCTTTTGAGACCCTGTCAAGTTGCTTAGAGAGATAAGCAACTGGTCCTGCCCGGGATGCTACATTTTGGGTGAGTACATGCCAGCTATTCTATTTCTTTCTGATACATACATTTCAAAAGGCTTGGCCAGGTCAGAGAGGCCTAATGACAGGGCTGCCTGAAATTTTTCCTTTAGCCTCTTGAAGGCTTTTGGTTGGTCAGATTTCTACTCTATTGACCTTTTCTCTCCCCCCTCCCCCACTTTGTGGCTTGATACAATGGTTTGGCCAGTCTGTATATTTCACACAGTCTTTCATACAAATCCCTAGGGCTTTCATCTTTTGCATGACCTCAGCCACCTTTCAGATGTTTGTGGCTATTTGGCTTTCCTACACTGACAGGAACATGGTCAAGTTTGGGTCCAGGGTAAGAAAATGAAATCATTGGCTCAGTGCCTGTAGCTCAGCAGCTAGGGTACCAGCCACATGCACCAGAGCCAGGGGATTTGAACCCGGTTCGGGCCTGCCAAACAACAATGACAACTGCAGCCAGAAAATGGCTGGGCATTGTGGCAGGCACCTGTGGTCCCAGCTGCTTGGGAGGCTAAGGTGGGAGGATCACTTGAGCCCAGGAGTCTGAGGTTGCTGTGAGCTGTGATGCCACAGCACTCTACTGAGGGCAACATGGTGAGACTCTGTCTAAAAAAAAAGAAAGAAAAAATGAAATCATTTAGCAGTCACCCACAAGTGTCTACAAGTTCTAGATGTTGAGACTAAAGTTTACACAATGAGAAAATTAGTATTCTTTTTTTTTTAAATACAGAGTCTCACTATGTTGCCCTTGGTAGAGTGCCATGGTTTCACAGCTCACAGCAACCTCAAACTCTTAGGCTTAAGTGATTCTCTTGCCTCAGCCACCCTACTAGCTGGGACTACAGGCACCTGCTACAATTCCTGGTACTTTTTTTTTTGGTTGCAATTGTCGTATTGTTTAATAGGTCTGGGCCGGGTTCAAACCTGCCAGCCTCGGTGTATGTGGCCTGTGCCTTAACCACTGAGCAATGGGCTCTGAGCCAACATTAGTATTCTTATTTACAGACTTAGCACAGTTCCTAAGTTAATACTTAGTTTTAAGAGTCCCTACAGAGAGGGAGGAACAAGACGGTGGCCGAGTAACAGCTTCCTTGCAACTGGGCATGGTAAGAGTGGGGAGAGAAGACTCCAGACATCTCTGGCTGGTGGAATTTGCCCAGAAACATCCCTTTGGGGACACAGGGAATCAGAGAGAGATTTCTGGACCCCATGAGGAGGACACAAGCTGTGGGAAATTGGCAAGTGGTTGTTCATTCAGTCTAATCCCATAGGCAGTTGTTAGTACAGCAGCAGTGACATTGCAAACTGGAAAGGCCTTACCTGTGAGCTGTTTTGTTTTTTTTGGACTTGGCACTTAGTTGAACTACCTTGGGAGAACTTAGGCAAGAGTGCAGAAGACTTTAAGCGTTGTTTAGGGCCCCAGACTGAGCTCCTGAGCTAGACAGAGGTAATAGTGTTCAACTGTGGGCCACGCAGATGCACTGTGGGAGAACTAACTGCCCCAGTAAACTCCACCCTCATAGTCTCAGAGCAAGGATTGGGTGGGAGTGAGTAATCTAGTAACTGAGCAGCCTAAAGGTGGGGACTGAGACACCTTACAGCCTTGGCCCTCAGGGGCATAGAGTGAGACTGGTTTTTACACACTGGGTAAGTAGATAGTCACTTCAAGAGTGATCCCAATGACAAGTGCTTTCCTGGGAAAGCTTCTGCTTAGCCAAGATTAGCAGTTTAAGTGGGCTGAGTAGAGATTGGGATTTAAGAAAGCAGCAGAGGTGGCCAGTCTCCATGTCATACAGCCATATCAGCATTGTGATTAACATCTGATTCCCCAAAAGATCAGCTGTTGCCCAGACAATATTCAGCAAGATAAATATACTGCTTTTTAAAAAAATTTCAACATTTTCCCTATAGATTTTTCTTTTTTTACTTTCTTTTCTTTCTTCATTT